TATATTATTACGTCAAACAAGAAAATGTCTTCGTCGTTATCGATGTTGGAAAAGGCCAGATCGTGATATGGATTCGAATGATAATACAGATCAAATATCATGGACAAAAAAAGTTTATGAATTTTATAATGCACCCGTGACAAAATTTTTTCAAGATTTAATTTTCTTTATTCTTTTTTTGGCTATTTTTACTTATGTTGTACTTATTCGTACACCACCTAAACCATCTGTATGGGAATGGATATTAATGTCATATTTAACAACAGTTGCTATGGATTTAATAAGAGAATTATTAACAATGAGTGAAACGAGATGGAAAACTTGGTTATCAATTTATTTTAATGATGTTTTACATTTATATGATACATTTTCATGTTTGATGTTTGCAGTAGCTTTTGCTTTGAGATTAACATATAGCTTTCGGATTGTTGGAAGATTATTATTATGTGTTAATTTAAGCTTATGGTATCTTCGAATGTTTCATTTTTTGGTTGTATCAAAAGAAGTAGGACCTTATATTCATATAGCAGCAAGAAATGTAAGTATGAATGTTTTAAAATGTTTGCTTTTCTATATAAGAAAAAAAATAATAATTCAATTAAATAACCCATGTTGCACGCTTGTTCGCACTACTACCAATCAGAGAACAACTATCGATATACTGCAGTATAATGGCGGTTAGATAGTAGCCAATTGTTTAAGAATCAAACTACCGGTGGTTAACCGCCGGTATAGCGCACATCAGAGTTGTAACTGGTTCGATTTCTCAAAGATGAATATATGATGGTTCTCTGTATAGCACAAAAAAAAACCATTTATCTGATAGTTGATTTTATAGACAAACCTAACTGCTTCTCTTCGAACAATTTTTCGAAATCTAAATCTGATTTTTAAAGAAACATTAATGGAATAAGTTTAGTTCAAGTAACACTGTTTTGATTGTGCTTTTTAAAAACTACAATATATTTCGATTCAAGAAATAAAACAATGTAGACAAATAGAAGAAAAAAAACTGTTTCATTATTTTGATAAGAGCACTCAAAACTTGCTCTCAAAATATTTTATTAGAGAAAAATATCATATTAATAGAATTTCTTTTAACCGATAAAAACCGGTGAAGATCGCTCAGCCCATAATAACTAGAGTGGCACTTTCGCTTTTCTTTCCCAGGGAAAGTTGTTAAATTAGATGGATGTCTAGTATTAAAAACTTGTATATATATATATATATATATACCATCTAGTTATAATATGAAGTTTTGAAAGAAAATAGTTTAATATTCTTTGATTATTTTGTTTCCCGTAAATATGCCTTTTTTTCATAATTGTCCTTCTTCATGTATGATACTATTTTTCATTCTGTCTGCCACTTCGCTCTAATTCTCTCCTCAAATTCTTTAATCTATTTCTCTCACTATCCCTCAATATTTAGTCTATTTCAAACTAGTATGGATAAATAATATGAAGTTTAATTTTTATTTTCAAATTACAATCACAAAAAAAAAGCGATAAACAATATATATATCGTGGATAAATAGTCAATAAACGAAAGATAATCTTTAATTTTCATATTGTATTCTTAACTTTTGTTGTTTTATATTGTTTTTTAAGGCAAATAGAAAAGAGAAGTGCTTTTGAAAACAAACTCGAACGACTTTTCCTGTTGACATAAATTGAAAAGGATAATGAAGATTCACTAAAAGAAGATGTTGCTTGTGTACTTGAACAAACAACGTTAATTACTTTCAATCTGAACTCAAAATTCTCTTGAGCACTTGGCATAAGGAAAAAAGAATATTTATCTTTCTAATCCATTGTTTTCTTAAACAAGAGACTAAAAAATTAATCGACAATTAACCTCAGAGAATGCTGAGATTTTTCCTCTCTTAATAAAACAGAACAATGAAAGATTTGGAGTAATCACTCTAATGGAAGTAGAACAAAAAGATGAAAATGAGTACTTAAAGAATGATTGAATAATGATAAAAAATACCAGTGGAAAGATGTACTGAAGTAAGAAATGAGAATAAATGAAGCTAACTATATTGAAATGATTATTTTACTCATTTTCAATTGATACTACAAATTCTATAAACATTCCAACATTAAAATATTTTAAATTTTCTTTCTAAAAGCACAAGGACAATGAACGTCCCACTCCTACTTACAACTCTAATGCACATTATATCGAACAGTTACCTAACGGTTTTTTTTTATTATTCATTCTATTTAGATTATTGATTTGTTTCGTTTAATTGTTATTGTATTAATTGTTCTAATGAGTTTTGGTGTATCAAGACAAGCAATTAAATATCCTGATATGGACTGGAGTTGGCATTCTGTTAAAGAAATATTTCTTGAACCTTATTTTATGGTATGATCATGTTGTTGTTGTTTGAACTAATTAATAGATCTCATTTATTTTGTTTTTGAATAGATTTATGGTGAAGTATATGCTGATAAAATCGATCCAGTATGTAATGTAACCGAGGATCCAACAAATCCATCATGTCAATTTGGTCATTTTATAACTCCTATTACTATGACAGCATTTCTTCTTGTTTGTAATATACTTTTACTTTCAATGTTAATGGCTCAATTTACATCAACATTTATGAGATTAAGTCGATTATCAGATCAGGTTAAATTTTTTTTCATTAAAAAACAAAAAAAAATTATTTTTATTTTCAATTAGGTATGGAAATTTCAACGATATCATACAATTCTTCAATATGAACAAAAACCATTATTAGCACCACCATTAATTATATTTGCTCATATATATCTTTTAATAAAAACAATTTATCGTATATGTCGTCATCGTAAACGTACATTTAATCGTGGTTTAAAATTATTTTTAAGTGTTAAAGAAATTGAAAAATTACGTGATTTTGAAGAAGAATGTGTACATGAATATCTTTTAGCTAAAGAAGATAAAGAAAAAAGTACAGTTGAAGAACGTATGTTAACAACATCAGACAGGTTAATAATTTCTTTTCTTTTTTTTTTTTTTGTTTTCATCTATATTATAAATAATATCTATTTTAGAGTTTCACATATGGTAACACGTGTTGAAACATTAAAACGAAGTAGTACTCAACAAACAAGTTATTTTCAAAATTTTGATGAACGCTTACAACGTCTTGAAGATATGCAAACAACAACATTACAATTACTTGATGTTCTTATACAAAAAATGCAAACACCATCAAATGATCAAACAGGATTAATTGAAGGAGGTTCAATAAAATCATTGGATAAGAAAATAAATGAAAATGATGATGATGAAATGTTAAATTTTACAGCTGTATCATCACCTGATGATGTTAAATTACCTACATCTTTATTATCATCGAGTACAAATCGAACTATGCGTTCATTAAGTTTTTCAAATCGAAAAATAACAAATCCAATTCCTATACCAAATTCTGCTGCACCACAAATTATTGCTGGAGGATATTCAGAATTTTTAGCACTTAAAACTTCAGTTACATCAGCATTATCAGTTAATGATGAACGTTTAGGTATTGGAACAACAACACGTAGTGCATCATCATCATCAGTAAATATTATTGATGATACAAATCTTCCAGGTTTATATGAAGCTGAAGAAACAGAACATAGTATATATGGAAAATTAATTAAAGAACGTTTTCGTAAATTATCTGAAGTTGTTGAAGATATTGAAAGAACATTACCTAGACATCAACAACGTCAAGATGACAAACGTGATAAATGTGATATGACAGATGATGATGAAACATTATCAACTATTGATTGGGTTGATACAACTGGACGTGTTGCATATAATAGTACACATGCATCAAGATTTGATGTTAATCAAGATGAAAATGAACATACTTTTATTGCAACGGGTATGAATATTTCATAAGCAAAAAAGAAAAAAGTGTATTCGTTTAGCAGATGTTTCACAGTGAATATGTTAAAATATTAAAGTTGTTGCTTTTCATTATGAAAGAATGTTCTATCTTTGGACATTATATAATATCAGAAAGTGAAACACGAACTTTAATATCTTCATACCAAACCATGAAACATCTGCTAAACGAACATCAAACAAAAAAAAAAAAGGGAAGAAATTCAATTCATTTATTTCTAGATATGCAAGAAATGGACAAGAGTTTAGTCCCTGATGTAATAATTCATCCGCCCGTTGATGATAATACACATTCGGCATAATCCCATGAGCTTGTTTATAATTTTATTTAAACTATTAATAATGGCCAATACATTCAGATAGATGCCAGTCAATATTAATCTTTATTTCTGTTTTTTTTTGTCACATGTTTATATGATGTAAAATCAATCTCGGTACTCTATTTCAGTCAGCACAGTAAAGTGAAAAATAAAACTCAATTATTCTTATGCGTATCATCAATCGTCAGTTCAGTAATATCATTAATATTTTCACTCATCAGTTTTTTTCTTCTTTTTATTGTTGTTGTTAATGTTGTTAACAAATATAATTTAATATGTTTAACTATACGAAAACAACAATTTTTCTTTTCTTGATTCTTGTTTTACTATGTATTTTGTGTGTTGTTTGAAATTTTGCTAACAAAAAAAAAAACAAGTGACATTATCAAACAATGAAATTTTTATAATTTTTTTCTTTTAACTCAATTCATATTTTTGCTTGAAGCAATATGCTTTACTGAATCAATACCAAGGTTTTTCTCACATATAATTGAGTCATTGTTTGTCTTCAGTATGGCTTTTGCGTATGCATCTTTGCTTCTTATGTAAATATTTGCACCAAACAAATATAAAACAAGAGAAGAAGAAAAATTAACATAGTTTAAAACAATACTGCATCAGTTACTTGCGTCTATCAATTCTTTACTTTTTTTTTTGTGTTTGCGTTACTTTGCATTTTTTTTAAAGCTGCATATCAACTATTAATCGAGAAAAAAAGGTCATTCATCGATATATTGATTGTCTTTTGTCATCGCTTTTCATTTTATTTCAGGAAATTCGAGTATGTACACAAATACCCAAGCATCTACTGAGACTAGACAACAAGACGATCTATTGGCAACAATAATCCCATTACTTGATGAAAAGCAACCCTATGAAAAATTCGAACATCTTGATTGTCCTGATATCGAGACATATAACAATAGAAAACTTCTAAGAATACAAGGCTCTCTCGTTGGTCTTGCTATAGGTGATGCTCTCGGAGCATCAGTGGAATTTCGACCTCATTCATATTTGCAACAATATAAAGTGAAAGATATGCAAGATGGTGGTACATGGGGTTTAAAAGCAGGCCAATGGACGGACGACACATCTATGACACTTTGCCTCGCAGCTAGTCTTATAGTTAAAGGAGAATTCGATCCTTATGATCAATTCATAAGATATAAACGATGGTATAAAGATGGATATATGTCTTCTACTGGCCTATGTTTTGACATTGGAAAGTCTACAAGGCAAGCAATTATCGAATTTGAAAAGCGTCAGAAAAAAGTTCTTCATGAATTAGTCCAAAAAAACAAAGCCACCAAAGACACTTCTCTTGATGAAATAAAAAACCAAGATTTTCTATCTCATTACGATCTAAAATGTGGACCACCAGATTCTGCTGGTAATGGATCACTTATGCGTTTAGCACCGATACCTTTATTTTTTTCCGAATCGTATGATTTCGTCAAGCAATACATCGATAAAGCTACAATACTTACACACAATGATATAAGAGCGATCGAAGCTTGTCAATTTTACGCTGGTCTTATTTGGTATGCCTTAAACGGTACATCCAAAGAAGACCTTTTACGTCCAGATTTTTATCGACGCGTTTTGAATATAAATTTACATGGAGATGTTCTGAGCGTTGTTCAAGGTTCTTATAAAAACAAGAATGGATATGAAGATGGTATCCGTGGAAAAGGCTATGTAGTAAATGCGCTCGAAGCTGCTTTATGGGCATTTTATAATGACGGAAATTCTTTCGATAAAGGTGTTCTTCTTGCTGTGAATTTAGGTGATGACACAGATACAACAGCAGCTATCTATGGACAGCTTGCCGGTGCTGTATATGGTATTGATCGCATTCCTTCAGACTGGGTTAAAAAATTATTTCAAGGAAAATTTATCAAGACTCTAGCAAATGCTTTATACATCAGGGGAAAATCATTGAAGAGTGAACAACAGAAATCAGACGAGTCAAATGGAGGTGATCGAAATCGTTGCCACACAAGTGAGGATAACAAAGGATCTTCAGATTCGAAACCAAGCGGAACTGCTACATCGCATCCTAACCAAAATGTAGGTGTGAATAGTACATCGCATCACGCCCAATCCACGGCGTCGAAAAATATATCCGATCGCGACCAATCCAGAAACGTGCATAATGCATCGCACAAAGGTGGACAGGGAAAGGTGAATGATGCACCACCCGGCAATGACAAAATTAATGTAATATATGAAGTGTAAAAGTACTTTTGTTCATTATCGTTGAACTCTGATATATTCATATTGTTTCAACAATTCTCATTATACTGATTATTCTTCACATGTTCATACATAACAAAATTTTCGAAAGTAGTGGCAAAGAGTTGTCCTCTATTTTTGATTGATTCAATTTGATCGATTTTTTTTTCTCACAATACCTTAAATAATTTTCAATCAAGATTTGTTTCTTATGAATATTAAACTTGTGTATCTGTTCAGACGAAGCTTGTCGATTTCAATACTTGGTTTTTTTTTCATTTTCATAAACTAAATAGATTGAATATTATTGATTCAAGCTTATTGTGTATAAATGTATTAAACAATTTTCCATCATTTTACAAACTTTAAAACAGTTCACATATCTAAGAAATATTATTTTTTTTTTATGTGATCCAACAGTAAGAATAATACGGTGGTTAAAAGAATTAACAAGAATAAAATGAGATTATGAATACAAAAAGTTCATGGAAAAAGAAATAAATAAAGGAATGTCATTTATAACCCCATTGCAAATCACATATTGCCTAGGAAAAAAAGTCTCGAAAAAAAAGGCTGCAAAAATTATAGTTAGTATCACAATTGGAATGTTATTTGAATTAAGCTGTTGGATCTTTTCGCATAAGTTCAATATCAGCTGCAACCATTTCTTTAACTAATTCCTATTTAAAAAAAAAGCATATTTGAAAATTTAATTGAAAACTTTCTTTCAACATACTTTAAAAGTAATTTTTGGTTTCCAGTTAAGTTTTTCTTCAGCTTTTTTCGGATTACCAATTAAAAGATCCTATAATAGACAAAAAAAGAAAAAATAATTTCTACTCTAAATAAATTTTCTTTTTCAAACTTACAACTTCCGTTGGTCGAAAATATTTTTCATTAACCGTAACACGAACAATATCAGTATTTTTTTCTTTGCCAATTTCTTTTACACCTTCCCCTTCCCATCTATTAAAATTTCGTTTTTCAATCAACCAATAATTCAAAAAAACAATAATAATATACTTACACAATTTCTTTTCCAATTTCATGAAATGCTGCTTCAACAAATTCTCGGACGCTATGTGTTTCACCTTAACAATATAAAATTTATTCTTCAATTTATTCATACAAAACTTAAATATTCTACCTGTAGCAATAACAAAATCTTCTGGTGTCTCTTGCTGTAACATTAACCACATAGCTTCAATATAATCTCGTGCATGTCCCCAATCACGTTTTGAATCCAATGAACCAAGTTCAAGTGATTGTTGTTGATTAAGATAAATTTTAGCAACAGATCGAGTAATTTTTCTTGTAACAAAATTATCACCTACACAAAAAGAATCAATTTAAAAAAGCTTTTAGCACAATCTCTGGGGAATTTAAATGTGAAACACAATGTAAATATTATTGCTAAACACAAGAGAATTGCTTTATTCTGTGTATTTTAGGACACATTTTTTCACCATCCTTTTATTTTATTCTTCAGAAATATAACAAAGAAGTACTTCATATATTAATAACGAGCCGTTATTGATATATGGTCTTTGATAATATATCAACAACGTCTGTCGCACTCTGTGATGAAGACCGAGGACGTTGCTATGGCGTCTGTTACGATCTATGTGCGAGAGGGGGGGGGGGGGGGCAGTCCAAACTTTTACCCTTATACTTCAACACTCTTTTTAAGTCGTATTTCACAATAAATTCATTTTTATTTATACCTCGTCTTGGAGATTCATGATTAAAAAGAATACCATTAACAGCAAACATGTTATAAGCTTCACGATAATTAATCGTTATCCAATATGCATATAATTTGGCAGCAGCTATAAAATAAAAACTAAATATTTGTTTCTTGGTTTTTGTTTTTTTATATGAAAAACTTCGAACCATAAGGTGATCGAGGATAGAATGGTGTTGTTTCACTTTGTGGAATTTCTTGAACCTTTCCATAAAGTTCAGATGTTGATGCTTGATAAAAACGTACATCTTTTCCAAGACCACATGTTCGAATAGCATCTAATATACGTAGAGTACCAACAGCATCAACATCAGCTGTATATTCACTTAAATCAAATGAAATCTAAATTTAGAAGAAAACAACGAAGATGTTTTTTTTTCATTAAATAAAACTATAACAAATTACTTTAACATGACTCATTGCTCCTAAATTATAGATTTCAGTTGGTCTAACACTAGCAATTATTTTTACAAGTGATGAACTATCATTTAAATCACCATAATGTAATTTCATAGCTATTTTAAATTTATTAAATAAGAGTAAAAATTTGATATATATATATTACAAAAGAACAAACCTCCTTCTTTGTGTGATTCTGGATTTGCATAAAGATGATTTATACGACCAGTATTAAAACTACTCGAACGTCGAATAACACCATGAACCTATCAAATAATAAAAAGATATAATTAATAACGAATATATATATATATATTCATACCTCATATCCTTTCTTAAGTAGAAATTCGGTGAGGTAACTTCCATCCTAAAAGAAAACAGAATAGAATAAATATTATTTAATGATTATTATTACCTGTCCAGTAATACCAGTAATTAAAGCAATTTTACGTTTCTTTGAATCGTTTGATCCATTTTGAAGACCGTTAGTTGTCATATCTGTAACGAAATTGCGCACTATTGATTTTATTTTCGCCGAGTTTAATAATTATGGTTGTATGCTTCTGAGCAAGGGGAGGAATAAAATGCATGTGTATACAATTATTTAAGTTACTAGTGAAAGAGTATCGATGAGAAAGAAAAGACAGCGAGGTTTACGCAGGAGGAGAAAAAAAAAGAAGAACACCTACTCAGTTATACAATGGGGATTGGGATTGAAAACGAATACATAAAAGTCGAACTGTGTGCTTCAATAAAAGTAGAAAGAAAAAGAAAAAGAAAAAAATGTATATGTATATTATACATTGTATTGAGCATATACAATAATATTATATTCACTTCGACTATTTATTTTGATTTATTAGGCGTATACACATAAGATGAAAAAAAAAAGTTTCTTCTATGCATAAACTAAATATTTTATTGTTAAATTTCTTTTTTCATTTGTTTGCTCTATTTTTATTCGAAACAAAAATATAAATATATATTCTAACAATAATTGATAATATCTTCTATGTCATGATTCATCTACTAGTACTTAATTGTCTGACAGCAGTAAATATAAATGTCTAGCTTAGTTCGTGCATTGTTGCAATTGGTTAAAAAAACTCTCCATTCCTATAGATGTATTCATTTTTTTGGAATCAAGACGACATCGTATTAAAAATATGTGAACATCTATACATTTGATGAATTTTTCTATTTCTTTCTTATTATTTTTGAAATTTCTAAAATATTAAAGAAAATTTTTTTTAGAAATGAGTTCAAACAATTTAGCTCGAGCATCATCCATAAAAGAAGATGGATTAGCACAACTTAGTAAATATATATATACATATATATTATTCCGAAAATTTAAGATCAATCTTGTCATACTTTTAAAGGTCGATCAGCAGAAAACTCGAGAAGAATTAAGAATGTTCAAGATAAATTTGTTAATAGTCAAGTGAGATTTTCTCTTTTTTTGTTCTTTTGTTCTATTACATATTGTTATTTAATCATTAAATGCTTTTAGCCATTAATGAAAGAAGGTCGAGCACTTGTTGGTGAAGGAATTTTGATGAAAGTTTGTCGAAAAAAACCAAAACAACGAGCTTTTTTTCTATTTAATGATATACTTGTATATGGACGCGTGGTTATTAATGGACGTAAGGTGATAAAAAATTTTACTTTAAATAAAAGAAAAAAAATTTTCATTTTCGTCAATATGAATAACTATTTAGTATTCACACCAAAAAATTATACCATTAAATGAAATTCAAATAAATACATTAAATGGTTCTGAAGGTAGAAAAACAAAAATTTTCTTTTTCTTTATTGAATTAAATTTGATTAATACTGAATTAGAAAATCCATATTCATGGTTAATTTGTAGTCCAAAAAAATCTTTTATTGTTCGAGCTAATTCTGATCGAGAACGACAAGAATGGTTAACACATCTTGATCGTTGTGTTCAATATGCTTGTGGTATATATTAATGATTTTCTAAATCATCATTTAGATTATATATATACATATATGTTAAGGTGGTCATACTACACAACATAATCCTGTAGCAGCACATTGGGTGCCAGATGATAAATCAGATACATGTATGCATTGTCATATATCGAAATTTTCTACATATAATCGTAAACATGTATGATAATAACTAAAGAAATAAAATATTATTTTTTTCTTTTTAAATTTTTGATTATTAAAATAGCATTGTCGAAATTGTGGTCATATTGTTTGTGAGGGATGTTCAAAAAAACGTTTTCTTTTACCTCATTTGGATTCTAAACGAGTTCGTGTTTGTGATTCGTGTTATTTAAAATTAAATACGAATAATATCGATGGTAAACAGATATTAAAAAAAAACTAGATTTAAAATTATTGTTCTATTTGTTTTCTTTTTTTGTTCTAAATAGATACTCGTCCAAGTCAACATGATAGTAGTGATAGTGATGGTGAAGAAAATCATGCAAATTATTCACCTATACCTGTATGTATTTTAAGTAATACATTCTTTTGTACTTATTTTCTTGTTATTTTTGCTTTAGGCTACATTTTATCAAAACATTGAAAGCTTCTAAGAGTTTGTTTTTTTTTTGTTTTATTTTGAAAATGCAGTATTATCAGATGGTTACATGTTAATAACACAAGGTTTTTCCTATTAATTTATTGTTTGTCTTCGTACATATCTCTTATAACACAGCTCATTTTTTGCTTTTATTTTGAATGAAATATTGGATTATTTTTTTTTTTTTTTGTTATCAACAAACGCAGAAAAAAGAATTTTTGCATGTTTGTCACACGTTCGAGAATGCGCTCAATGTATGATCTCTTTTCTTTGTGAAATAAATCGGAATTATTATTTATT